GCTTCCCTCCCTCCCCATGCTCTGCCTTGCACAGCTGGGGGGATACAACACAGGTAATTCAAAAGAGCTAAGACATATCATAAAAAAAAAAAACAACCAGAAGATGAAAAGCAGCTGAAATGAGCAACATCACTTAAATGTTTTATTATCTTTAAAGTAAATACAAATCTATGCAAAAAGCCCTGCAACAACAGGCCTCAGGAATAAGTATCCTGATATGATAACGCTAGAAAGATGGACAATTGCTGCTGAAGCTAATGAGAGAAATGGAAGTATAGGCGCATTAATGAAAAAGGAAGAAGTGCTATCATAATTTATTCTGGCATGTAAGAAGAACAGAGACGAAAAAATTCTTATATTGGAATTCAGCTTATTTTAAATACAATGGTTTCGTCTTCTGCCATCATTTACAAAGACGTCTAGATTGATTAGTTCTTAACAGAGGTATATAAAAAATGGAATAGATGGATTATTGAGAGAAAAGTCCTTTGTCATAGCAGATGCAAGGGATGTGGGCATTCTCTTCCTCCTTCCAATGTCTCAGCAAAGTGAATGAATTCTGAAATAGATGTACTCTGCTTCAGAGTACAACACACATGGCTTTTGGCTGCCAGATGCTGTTTTCACTGACATTACCAAGAGCAAAGTTTGCGTTACCAGAGACACATTTGTTTGAGAAATTTGTTATAAAGAACAGATTGAAATCCTTTAATTAAAGCATTTATTAATATAAAACAAAGATAGAGAAAAAAAAAATCTCACTACCTGGGCTTACTTGATTGAAAAGGCTGGTGTTGGACTATTTAGCATATAGAGACCTAGGTAGGTCTCTACATTATTATATTATGCCTTCACTTAAAGAAATTAGTACAAGAATTCACACTGTAGTTCAAGAGCCATAATATTCAATTCTAGTGATTTTTATTTCTTCTAATTAGTGTATTCATACAAATGAATTAAAAGGTGCAATCACAAACATCAGTTGCTCCCGATCCATCATCACATTGCTAACAGATCTAGCTTAATCACATTCTACCAGTTTTTTTGATTACACAAATTATTAGTCAAGTCTCATTTCATTTAGTCTCTACATGGATACATTTTGTTCATCAGAGCTAAGTGAACTTTGCAGGAGACTTGCTGTCTTACTTGTTCTTTCACCCATATAATCAGAACAATTAATGAAAAATAATTAAACACCTGGTCTAAAATTTCATCCCCTGAAGGACTTCACAGGATAGAACTGGCATCTATCAACTCCCTGAGAAATCATTACAAAAATGCAGATTAAACAAGTTCCTCCAAAGGAATTCAGACATATAAAAACAGTACAGGTCTGCATGTTAAACTGAAACTGATATCTGCTGTCCAAGAGCGAGCCTGGGACAGCCTCTTAACACACGTACAAATGGGTCAAACAGGTCCTGGCCACTCACAAACACAGAAGTACTAGGGAGGATGTTAATCCCTGGCAGCCTTGGTTGCAGCAGCCATCAGAGTGGAATTTGTGATCCTGAAGGAAGGAAGGAAGGAAGGAAGCAAATCTGAAGCTTCAGGAGAGCAGACCAGCTTATTCATAGTGAATTGGTAGATGGGATCATGTGGGAGGTAGCTCTGAAAGGCAAGTTTGAGAGAGCTGACAGGTTTTCAGAGACAACCTCCTCCTAACAAGGATGGCCCATCCTGAGGGGAAGAAAAAAAAAGTCTAGACTATCAAGAGAGTGACGTGGCTAAATGGGGAACTCACATCTGAGTGCTGATGAAAAAAAAGACTGAGGTAAAGACAGGCTTGAAAGGAAGAACACTGATAAACTGCCTGGGCGTGCAGGGTTCTTGTTGTGAAAAATGAAGTTCAATGAGAGTTAAAACGAGCAAAGGATGTGGCTGGCTGATGTTACTGCAAAGCACTTCTCTGTTATCTTAGAAGAGTTATTCCATATAGATGGATGGACAGCTGGCTGAACTGTTTGGCGCAAAATCTACTGGTTAACAGAAGAGCATAGGAAGGTTTCATAAGCCAAAACAGAAAGTTCCAACTTGATGAGACAAAACATGAAATAATTTTCCAGAGTTATAGAAGAATGCAGTGAAAGAAACACTGTACTCAATCAATTATATTTTGCAGATTACTGTTTTGCCATACTAAGTTATGGTACATTAACTTAATGAACACGAATGGCTTTAGAAGAAAGACTTTCATTATCATGGTGGCTAGGTATAACTTAAGTATCATGTTCAGAGAAATAATTTTTATAACAAAGTTGCAGTTTAAGGTATTGCTTAAAATTCTTGATTATGTACCAGAATATTAGCATTACCAGGAATAGATATCCTATTCTTGATTATGTAATCAAGATTATGTAGTCAAGAAAAACTTCTGAAAATAATATTCAGAATACAAACTACTTTTAATCAGCAGCTAAACACCAAGATACTGACACTGATTACTTCATTGCTCTAATGACATCTGTAATGGATTCCAAGTGTTGTACTTGATTGCTTCCCAGCTGATCAGGATTCTGTTCATCGCTTCTAGTTGCTGGCATTCTGAGATTTCTTGAAGTTCCTCTGCAAAGACTTCAAACTTGCTTTAGATGGAAAGCTACAGCATGTGCTTTAAAACAGTTGTTACATACTCAGTTCTCCAGTATAAAACATGTTAGGAAAGGAATGTTTGGGGGTTTTTTTTTTTTTTTTCATTTTTTTATTTACAGGCAGTGGTTACAAAGCAATAAAATCCAAAGAACCTGATAGACATCAGCCAACAGATCATAAAATATAACTGAATCTCAGCTGACTGTAGCTTTATTTAATAAAGCATGCTGCAATAGTAACAAGGATACACTGCCATTAGCCCTGATTTTAATGTAGTTTTAATATAGCTGATATACACAAGTGATTTAAAAGGTAATTTGAGATACTGAATAAGATACATTTAAGCAAAATTCACAGTTGCTAAAATTAAACAAAAGCCTTATGTAATTTTTAATTGTTCCTACTTAAAAAAAAAAATCCTTCCTTTTGTTGAACTAACATGATAAGGGAGTTATTTTTAGAGAGACTCCTCTGTTGAAATAGCATGGAATAACTGAAGTACCATACAACTACAAACATGCAGTATGAAGGTCCAAACACTGCTGGCTAGAGCAGTGAAACTGTATTTGAGAGGCAATGTGTTTGAGAAATATGACATCTCAAGCACAGTATTAGTACCAGAAAGAGACTTGTCCTGTTTGATAATGGAATATGAGAGGTCTTTTGGCTCTCTTCTTTTTTTTTTTTTTTTAATCTGAGCTATAACTGATGCATACTACATTTTCAAACTGCCCACAAGAGAATAAATTTAGGAAATCATTCCTCCCTGAGTAGGAAGTCATCCTGATTCGTAGAGTTTAGCATGTAATGTGGCAGAAAACTAGAGAAAACAACTGCAGTATTTCCAACTACTTCAGAAACCATCACTGTGAAGAACTTGGAAAGGTTTCATTTTTAACATCAGGAGATTTCCATTTGATTAAAAAAACAAAACACAGCAAATAAGTTCTTACAAAGCCAACAGTTTGGCTTCTTAATGCCAGTGTCTTGCAACGTCTTATAAATGAACAGCTATTAATAAGTCACACCAAAGAAACTGTCAGAACATACTTCAAGAAGAAGTTGTTAAAATGTAGTGGGGGCTGTCTCACTTTGAAATATATTTTCTCAGGTTTTTATTTAACCTTTTTTGTGATCTGATAGAGTTTCTATTCCAGAGACTGAGAAAAAAAGTAGGAGAAAATTCTCTGAAAAGCCTATTATTTCATTTCCAAAATGCACATCCACATAGTTTAAACTACTGTTTCACATTATTTTAAACACAGATTCAGATTTACCTCTCTTAAATATTTTTTCTGTCACCCTTGAAGTACCACATTATATCTCTCTGCCATTTGGGCAAATAGTGACAGAATGCTAATGCCGAGACATCTCTGTGAAACAGAATGATTCACTTCTATCTCAGGCTCTCATCAGTTTGGACATAAAAACAAAGGGCTGACTGCAAAGTTGAGTTTATATCTTTACTAGCATAAGACACAACAAATCATTTGTGCAAAACTATAGTAATGAAGTAGGATAAGTATTGTTGGTTCAATTGTGTGAAAGATGCCTAGTACACTCAGATCTTGCTGTGCAGTTAAATGCCAGGAAGCACCATCTCAGGTAGAGCAAAATATGAAGGACTCCCATTTCTGCAAGCTCTCTTGTTGCATCACTGCACTGTCAACAGCATAGTTAAGGCTGTCTGCAGCTGTGCTTGTCAGGGCTAAGAAATCAAAGATGTTTTGCATAGATCTGCTTTTGAGACCACTTGTCAATTTGCAAGATTACTTCCATTCAAGAAGTATTATGAGTCTGTTTTAAAGTTACAACTGTCAAATTTTGGAACCCACCTTCCTATATCCTCTATTGTTCTTCCTGTGGCTATACACACAAAGACACTGATCTCTGCTTCCTACAGCAACATGACAGAATGCTACAGCTTGAATTTGCTGACTTTTAGCATTTTAAGAATTTAAATACTGAAGCAGTGCAACTTATTAAGCTTTAGAAAGAGCTTCACTCACTTTGGATACTCAAAAAGCTATAGCTACCTTTCTTTTTACTTAGCATTGTTTTTCCCAATGGCTAGAATCACTGTTTAGCTTATCAAAGCAATTTGTTTAGAAGAAAGAATTTTAATATGTCCTCTCGAGATGTTTATTTCTAAGTGCATTTCCTCAGGCCTAGCCCTAACCCTGACCCTAACAATCAAACAAACAGCTAACAGAAATGCCCCTCTGACATTAGAGATACATAAAATAAGATGAACAAATGAGAATACATCTCAAGAATAGTCTAAAAAAAAAATAATTATATTTTTTCCAAACACCAAAATAGTAGGATATGAAATGCTATGAAAGCGTATTGTGAAGTAAAGAAAATAGATTTATGATCCCACTCCACGCTTTTAATTGCCTTACCTGGCATTCCATGGATAAGATCTCCACACAACACAAAGAACTTGGGTTTAGGGTTTAGTTTGTTAATGGCCTGTACTGCTTGCTCTGTTAATTTGATTTCTTCTCCCCATTCATCATCTCCACTTTCTGTATTGCCAACTGCCCAAGATTTTATTAGTCCAAATTGAGGATCTGCTCCTTGGATGAAGTAGAAAGGTCCCTTCCATTGGTACTCATCACCTAAAAACAGCAAAAGAATTAAAAACCATAAATAAGTAAATACTGATTTTTCTTTACCTACATAAGTTAAGGCCACATTTAAGAAAGTATAGAATTCTGTATTCATTTCATGTATAGAACAAATACAAAGGCAGAAGTACAAAATTTTCTTCTAATGAGTAGCTGTAGTAAATGAAAGTATATTAATCTAATTACACAACGGTAATTGCAGACTAATTAGAGGAAAACTATGTAAAGAACTCAGTAAATACTGTTGGAAAATGCTAGATTACAACACAGCAGAAGCATATGACATTACATTTCACTCGATTCTTTTAAGATTCCCATAATTGCTCCTTTAGTTAACAAGCTAAAACATACACAACATACTTTCCTCTTTACCATTTTCAGTAGGCAGTTAAACATTACTGAGTCAACTGCTTCTGTAACACATTCTCTAGAGTTCAGAGATGAAGCTACTGAATAGAACCAAAGTCAGCAAATGCAAACCCCAGCAACACTGAATTAGCAGCAAGAATGGAGAGAAGTTGTAACTTAAACTGTCAGATAGCTCCCAAAAACTATTAGGAAAAAAAAAATTCAATTTGTAGAGTCAGTGTAGATGAAGGATACACTGGAGTTTGTTCTGCTGTCAGTTTTCTTGCATACTTCTTTCTTTGATACTACAACACCAAGTAATACAAAAGTGTGATACGTAATACTGGCTGCTACCAGCTATAAACATAAAATGTTACCCTGTTCCCTAAACTTACCTATCAACTCCGAATTAAAGTACAAACCAGTACACTGTGGTTTTTGTAGCTGTCTAAACATATTCATTTGCAACCCAAATATTTCAGAATGGACAACTGGATCTCTTTCCCACTTTTTACTCTTTTGAGTATGTCTAATTCGTATATTGTTTAAAACGTTTAGTTTTATTGATTTTGGTTTTTTTTTCAGTATTTCAATCATCAAAAAGTCATTGACTACATCAATGTATTTGAACCTGAAAAAAAAACCAATACAGCAAAATGTGTCAAATTAGAATATGGGAATACATTTTTGTATAATGTCAGTCTTACCTGAAACAGCTTGAGTCGATACTAGTTTTATCCTCACTAACAGTACATAAGCAAGCAGCATGCCTATCACATGGATTTACTTATGGTTTTCTTTTAAGTGGTCTAGAACTGGAGCTTCTTACATTGTAAGATGAGGGGTATGTTTTTGTCAAGGAAGGTAACACAGCAGGGGTTAGAATTCAGCTGCACTGTGAATATGGATGGGCAGGGATGGAGGAGAAGGAATGTGGGCAACTCCTTGTAGCACGCTGCTGCCTGTTGCTAAGGCATCAGATGATTTTGCAAGTTTCTACATTTTAGTTAATGTAACATTTAAGTATCAAAATTACTTATCTGATAAAGTTGTGTGCTAATTCATACTGGCATTCCTTGTTATACATCATAATCCTGTTTTATAGATAGAACTTTCAGATTTTAATTCTGAAATGAACTTTTCCAATTACGTAACTTATTCGGAGAAGCGAAATGATCTACCCATGAGTTTTAGTAGCAGCCTTATGGAACTGCTTCAATGGCACAAAGCAGTTTAGGTTTTTATTGTGTGTTTTGCATGAAAAAAATGAAAAATACAACTGTCATAAAAATCAGCTTGTGTGCTGCATCAAAGGCACTGTGCACAGAGAAGTTATCTTAAAGGTTTTGTAAGTGGAAAGTTATAAAGACATGACTTAAAAAAGCTGGCATGAGAAATCCTTTACAACCTATACAAAGGCTGGAAAGAGAAAATCTGACACAAGACCTTGTTGTGGAGAAGTGCTACAACCTCAAACTCATCAAATAGATGCTTAAGGAAAAAAAAGCTGAGATCTCTGAACAAAGTGACCAGACTCTTAACGTCTGTCCCTTTGAGACAGTAACTTGGGAGCAAGATCTACTTACTTTGCATTGATTAATCTGAAGCCAATAGTTTTTACAATAGTAAGCTAAATACAGATACATTTATCTATTTATTTTTACAGGAACCACTTAGAAAATAAAAGTAATATTTGTTTTGAAGGATGAAGTTTCACTTTCAGGCATATGGTTTCTCTCCTCTCCTGAGCCCCTGGGTGGCACAGCAGCTGGTGCAGCTGCAGCAGCCTGGGCAGTGGGATCAGACCTGGAGCCAGGTGATGAGGAGGTGCACCCATAGTGTCTGAGTAGAGAAAAGCAGCAAGCAGACACTGTGCTTTCAGGGAGCCTGCAGAGTGGGAACAAAACAAGTTGCAAGGCCAGAGCAGAGGCTATTCTAATATAAGCTTTGTGGAGTTTTTTCCTCCCCTGCCTTATATCTGTGCCAATACAGTAACTCTGTAGGTTGTAAGCACCTGAATGTTTCCAAGACTGAGCACAGATGCTCCTGTTTGAGTGGGTGGGTGATGGTCATGTGAGGAAGAGAGAGAGACGTGCATAGGAAAGATGAATTTGTAAAGAAGTTCAGTACACAGACAGAACCAAGAAGTGGAAGAAAAAAGGAGAAACAGAAGATGCAGGGGTGGAGGTGGAGAAGAGTGGGGAGAAAAGGAAAGAGATAGGATGTGAAAAGAGAAAAACTGAAAGCAATGCTACAATCCCTTGTGGGAAAGAAAGATAAAAAGGAATAAACTTAAGAAAATGAAGCGGGGGGGAACAGGAGAGAGAGAGGAATCAAGATGATATAAATAACATTTACTTAAAGAATTAGTTTAACTAACTGAGCTTTGTCAAATAATTTACTCAAAAGCTCTTCTTGCATTTTTTTTTTTTTTATAATTTATCAACTAGTTACAAAAAATTACAGTGATGTTGAATGCATTTTCTGTATCATTTCCTTATTGCTTAATCACTCCAACTAGAAACCCAATTAAAAAAAATAATCCTACCAGTATTCAAACCAAATTGAAACAGCTTATTTATCACATAGTATTTATCAATTTAGCTTAGTACATACTGACTTTCCCACATACAAAGAAATTCCCAGTAGAATTCATGCAAACAAAAGAATACATGGATGTCCACTTTACAGACATCCACTTATCACTTAAGTGCTTCTTTATCAAGAACATGGTTCATTTACTATGAAGTACTATGAATAAAAGAAGAATATCATAAAGAAAATTGTATTAATGCAACAGCAGCAGTGACAGTCAATTGCCAAGAAAAAAGTCCACCTTCTGAAACTGTTCTTATGCCTCAGTTTCAATAGCTTCCCACTCTTACTCCACTCCTATGCACGCCAGAGTACAGAGGATCAGTGCAACGTATTTTTGGTTGCATAGGCTGAAAAATGATGCTAGCTTCTAATTTTATCTAACGATTAATTCTGTGAAGGGCCAAAGCAGTCGGCAGCAACATGCAGGAGAAAAGCTCGGTGGTGCATTGTGCTCACAAAGATTCCAACAGCCTAAATGGGACCTGAGTCAAACCTCACCATTTCTAGAAGAGAACAACTAACATCTCCATGTGCCTTTATTTCTTCCCTTTTTGCTCTTTGTAATTTATCTTCCCTTTTCTTCCCCCTTTCTCCAAGGATCACAAAGGCACATACAGGTCACAGCAAGCAGACTCGTGACAGTCCCACAGTACTGGTGGCATATCCAGTGCTTCCCTGGTGGGATTTTCAACAGCAGTGAGATGTACCTTTGAGGCTGGTTTTGTTTTTCCTCTAGACTCTACAACATTTCACAGAAATGAAGCATTTAGAAGTTATTCCTGCCTGCATCTGTAAGTGGACACTATGATACCAGAGGAGAATGGATGTAGGCACACAGCTTGTGCTTGTTCAGTATAACAAGGGCAGTGACAAATACAAAAAAAAACGGTCCTCATTTTCATGTTGGATTTGCCAGGGGACTTAATGTCACTTCTCTGAAAAATCACTGAAGCAACTGAAATGTGGGTTTTTGTCATGTTTAGAACCAAAGATTAAATACTTCTGTTTTGCGTTTCGCAACTTCTGAAACATTTTATTTTGGAAGATAAAGATGGCCCAAGTCCCGGTTCTGCTTTTAAATATGAAATAGCAGGTGTTCAGTACATGCTTTCTTGCTCTTAGTTGTCAGTCTATAAATTACGCCCATGATTTTTTTTCTAGACAAGATTGGATGAAAAGAATATCTTTGGTGTTGTAAAAAAGATATAGGCAGGAAACAAAATGCAATTTTTAATTAGTTTATTTATTTATTAAGTGAAGGCAGTATTTGTACATTACAAACAGAAGAAATGGCAAAAAAAATCTTTATTGCAACTGTTTTGCAGTTTACCTTTAAGACAATTTGTTTTCATTCCCCTCAGTCCTGGCATGGCTTAAAAACCAATAAGGTAGTTGCCCCAAACCCTTAATAGTTCCTTGTTTACTATTAAAACATTATCAATAGTTATGGTTTCAAAAAACACCATTATTACTACTTGGATGTGCAAACAAAAGATTTCAATCTAATTTAGTGTTCATTCCTTTTAGCTAGGTTTTCCTGGTGTACCTTAGAGACTATCAAAAGGTGTGATAGTAGAATTCTGCTGACTGACCAAGGGGAATTATTCTCAAATAATTTAAACAATGCTACTATTTTTAAAATATAAACTTCTAAAATATCAAGGTAAGAAACGCCCCCTCAAACACAAACAATTTACGTATACTGAGGGCTAAATCCTAGTCATGCCCACCCCCAAATTTAATATATTTATATATATATTTATATTATAACATAAACTTACTGCAGAAAATAAACTAATTTCTTCAGCCCAAGACTATTGGTGTGAAGGGGGATGACTTGCATAATAACAAGGTGAGGTCACAGAAAGTTGCTCACAGCCCATACAGGATCTGCCTAATTCATATGAGAGTTGGAGACAGTATTAGGGATTAGAATGTGCCAGCTGGGAAGCTGTTCTTGATTTGTTCTGACCAGCAGAAAATCTCACTCAAAAATACTGCGTTGAAGAGCTCTAGAGTGGTAATTATAATGTGCAGAGATCCATCCTTCACGTGAAAGCAATAAAAAAGAAACCAACTGCAGTTGTATTTATTTTCAAAGGAAAAGGAATTTTATATATAATCACAAAGCTTTTAAAAAGAGCAAAAGTCCTTAAAGGCAGTGTGGAAACTATTCAAAGACACTATCCCAGAGGTTCAGACCATATGCACAGCATTTTCTGAGGGGAACTTGAGAAGACAAAAAGAATCCAGCCTGACTAACCAGTAAGAATCAAGAACAACTGAAAAGCATATTAAAGCCCTTTTCAGAGGTATGATGAGAGGGTGGACTGCCAGACACTCATTTAGGCTAAAAAACATGCAAGATGCACCCAAAAAGACAAAACAAAGTTCTACAGCCATGTTCATTGCAGAAGAACCCAAGACCAGAATCCTTCCTCACAGACAGAACATGTTTGACTAGAATCATATCTGACATTATTTATTGTGATGATTTCACCTTTCTCACCAGCTCTGATCTGGTCATGACATTCATTTCCCATACACCCTACCAAGAATTTAGACACTGAAAGATTCTGAGGGCATTAGGAGATGCTCCCTCCTGCATCATGCAGTTGCCCTACAACTCTTTTCTCATAAATACTGGATACCCTGCAAGAAATACAAATGGTATTTCCTCCACTTAAGGGGAGAAAAAAAAAAAAAAAAAAAAAATCAACCCAACAATAGCTGATGGCACTATCACTAGTTTAACGTCTTTAAAAAAGTACTCAACATATTTTCACAGAAATTCTCTGTATGGCATGGTATTAGCATTAGAAGTTTGGGGACAGGTAGTGGAGAAGATGACAGAATTTACCCTAACATACACCCCTGTATATATTCAGTATAAGACCAACAAAACTAGTAGACATCTGAAGTGTCTTTTCTGCCTACGTGAAATTACAGAGAATATATTAAAAAAAAAAAAAAGAAAGCCAAAGAATACAGAGGTCTCTTTTCAATAAAGTGAAGAACTGATGTGTGCCTTGCTCCAACACTCTATCAGCTACATGGGTATTTTAGACCTATTTGAGCTTCTGGTTCACGAGTGATATATGAAAAGTGGATCAGAGCACATCTTGTATAAGCAGACTGAACAGATGACTAGTAGGGGATAGGGTGTGAAAACATGACTTTGCAGAAGAGCTTAGAAGAAAAAAAAAAAAAAAGAAATTAAGCCCTAAGGAGTGATCCTCAAATTGTGAAGGAAGTACTGTGCCAAGCTAAAGGAATGCTGGTAAATGTTTTGTGTGGTTATCTGACAAAAGGAATCATTCCTGGACAATGAATGAATTCTAAGATGGAGGGAAACACCATACACAAACTCAACAAAAAAGGATCAGATTCAATTGATTTTCATTCTAAATAACAAGAAACTTTGCCTCAGTTTTGTTAACCCTTGATTATGTTTTTTTAAACGCTTTGTCATTAAAAGGTTGTGTTGAACTTTAGTCTCTAAAGAAAGAACTAGATAAAACATTAACACAGAAACATTACACTCAGAGATGGTAGCTGGACTATGATAGCTAACACATGCTAAACAAGATTAAAAGCCAACAATAATTGACAAAAGTCTTAACATTACTTGAAGAACATCAAACAACAACAAGTCTTCAGAGGAAAGGGCACCTGGATGACTGATACCTAAATCATATTTTTTCATCCATGTTTAGGGCAGTTTTCAAGAAATACTTGATACAGTTTTTTCTTAGAGATTTTTACTCTGTCTTTGAACACTCCTTTTATTACAGTGGATGTAACTAAATGGCTTGTCTGTTATTTGTCCCCTTAGTAAACACTACATATCCTGTTCCAAACCAACCAGACCACCCGCAATTATTAACAGGCTGCCAGAATGACTGAATATGTGTACTTCAGATGTTCAGAATTATTGACTTTTTATTTAGCAACAAGTAAATACTTCCAAACAATAGCTAAGAAAATTCCACAAAATTGCTGAGATTGAGTAGCCTTGCCCACCTCATCAAGCCAATACCACGTGTAATTTATAAACAACTGTATGGCAACAGAACACCTTCTACACTGAAAGTACTAGAGGACTGCTGAAGACAGAGCTTGTTACGTGCCTGAGGAGCCCAGGAGAAGATCAGAATCCCCATCCTTACAGAATTCTATGAGTAGTTGAGAAGCACGATGTGAATATCCACGTGTATTTGTTGGCCCATCCAAAAGAGCAGCAGCAGCAGGTGAGAGCCATCTCTGGCCTAGCAGCAGCCTCAATATTTAACTGGCCTACGAGGAGGTGAGTGTGGAACCACGCCTGCTGCCAGCCCAAGTGCGTTGCGGTGCCGTCCCAGCACCAGGCGAGGAACCAGCAGCGGTCCTCCACCCTGAAGGAGGCTGGAGCAGCCCGAGGAAACCAGAACCCACCTCTGTTAAGCAAGCAAAGTACAGGCATACAGCAGCGCAAACATAAAAGCACAGTACAACACGTGAGATGAGAGCGCGCTGCAGGTGCCGCCGGTTTACAATTTGCGGAGCTCAAGTTCAGCAGCACTGACAAGTACTTGAAAAACAAACAAAAAAAACACTATTCGTTCTAGATCTGGCGTCAGACGTAGCTGGCCTCTTCCCCACGGCAGTGCAGCCGCTCTGCCCCCAGCGCTCAGCAGAGGCCCGGCTGCCGCGCACGGAGGCCGCCCGCCGACAGCCAGCGGAGCTCCCGCCATACGCCTCCGGGCGCCTCCGCACCCCGCCCCCTCCCCACGGTGAGCGCCCACCTGCCGCCGCCACCTCGCTGCTCTCAGCTCCCCCCCGCGGCGCCCCCCGCCCGGCTGCGCGGCAGAGAACGGAGCCCGCCGGCACACGCAGCCCCCCGCTGGAGTTCCGCGTACCTTGGCGGAAGGCAGTCAGCGTCCTTCCCCGAGCTCTCTGGAACGCGTCCCCCACCGCCGCCATAACGCTCGTCCCCCAGAGCCGTCGCCTCGTCCCGGACCGCCGAGAGAGTGGCACCGCCTCCGCCGGGGGCGGCACCTGGGCGCGGGGGAGGATCCCGGGAAGGGGCGGGGGCCCTGCGGCGCGCGGCGCGGGAAGCGAGCGCCGAGGTGGTGCCTGGCGCCGCCATGTTGGACAGCGGCGGCTCTGGGCGGCGGGCGCAGGGCTGGCTCTGCTCAGCTCAGCGCTGCTGTGGCGTTTCGGTGGCAGCGAACAAACAAAACCCGCCGAAAACCTGCCTGATTTTCTTCGGCTTTTTCCTAACCTGCAAACTGAAGCCTAAAAGCATCAGGAATTTCCTGATCACCTCGAAGGGATGCTTTTCAGTTGAGGTTTCTACCGTCTTTGTCTCAATTTTGCTCTAAAAGTTGCACATAGAATCATTTTCCTGGCAGAATGCTCACAACCCCATTAATCTGCACCTCATGATATGCAGAGCTCAGTGCTGCTTTGTTCAGCATGTGAAATTACTGCAAGGCACTGGATGAGGTTGCTGTCACTGTCTGTAACTCCTGTGATAGGATCATTATTCCATGGGAGTATTATCCCTGAGTGAAAACTGTTTTGTTTCCAGTTTGATTCCAGTTTGTAAACTACTTGATGGTAACTAGATATGAAGCACTAAAGGAGGTCTTTCTATTAGGAAGTTTGTCAATTCCCCTCTTCATGAGGCGACATTTGGTATATTAAGCAAATACGTTGAAATGTGTTTGTCAATTGCAGGTGCAGTCTGTATAAATACCCCAACACCGTCATAGGAATAGGTGATTATGGTCTTATGCTGGAGCACCTCCTGCTAAGAGAAGCAATTGGGTGAGTGATCCAAAGAGATTTTTGACCTTTTCTGTTTCTTTTCAATTTTTTTCTTGCCTGCTTAATAGGGTTGAGCAGTCATATAGCAGATAATCTTTCAAGCTGGATGACTTCAACTAAACGCAGGATGAATTTTGAAAAGTTGAAATGCCATCAAGATCATACATAGAAGTGTAGTGAGAGCACTACTATTTTGTCAAGACAGCCTACTGCAGTTTTGTAGCACAAGGCCATGATTTTGACTGGCACACACAATTTTCTTTTTCTTGACATGGATGTGTTGTGAAAGGCAGCTGTTTTGCTTAAATCAAGGTATGCATGTCTGAAAGCAAAGTGAATCAGCCTTGGCAAAGATGTGGATGGTTACATCCATATGGACTCTAAAAAATTCTAGATTTTACACAAATCTCTGTAATTTCCCAGCTTTTTTTTTTTTTTTTTTTCTAGGCATGCATAGGGAGTTCTCTTCTACAATTCTGTTGTCCGTGCTGTATTTGATCTCTTTGCATGGCGGGTCATAGATGAGCCTCGGGATGCTCAGCTCTTTCTAGGTGATGAGTGTGGTGTGCATGTAGATTGCCTGTACTGCCTGCTCTTCAAATGGAATCCTCTGAAATTGCATCTGCATGAGTATTGTCCACTGTGATAAAGGTGCCATGAGAAATTTCCATTTTGTAATTTAAACACATTTTCTTGTGATTTTGCAGTCTGAATGCAGAAATGTTTTAACCTGCAGAAATAAAGGAACATTTGCATATAAATGTGAGAACTGAGGATGAAGGGTGTTTGTGCAGGAAGGGTATTTCTGCTCTCTTCTGCCTCCTTTACTTTGCCAAATTTGGAGTGCAGAGTTTTGAAGCTAGGATCATGGACCAACTGCTATAATCATTTTACTATGACTAAATGGTTTAAAGTTACTACAGATCTACGTTAGTTAAATATTTTTGTGGACTTACTCCAGATGAGTCCCGGATAAAGCAGTTGAATTTTGTCATAGGTCCTGATTTGTTAAATGAAGTGTCATGAATATAATGGCACTGAATAAATAATTTTCAAAATACATATCTGGTCTTGTACAGTATAAATTTTAGTATAGTTTAGTATAGTCTTAATGATTTTCAAAAGTTTGTGTGAGCATATTGTGGAGAATGCACCATTCTGGAAAAACATACAATATGTTGAAAATAAGAAAAAAAGAGAAACGGGGTAGTGAAAAGGAAATGTTTGTGTAAGGTTTAGCTTAGTAATGGCCGTGATTAGAACAGGGCAGGTCTGAGGGGTCCAGATCTCCTAATACTTACTGCAGTACATATTAAATCACACTGCCAATTCAAACAGTTCTTAACTTAGAAGTTCTGAAAGAAAACCCACCAGCTGCAGAAAGTGCACCTTATTTCTTGTTGCAATTTAAAGTATGATTATATGCACTTTGAGAAGCCAAAATATAGTACCTATTAAACCATAATTAGTTCTTTTATTTACTATCTCTAATGACTAATTAATATGAAAAGCAACACGGTCAATACAGTGGTTGAAAGAAGAAATCCTTTATCTATCCTTAGCAAGTGATAACAAGATAAATTGGAAAAATGGAAGAATCCAAAAGGTGAAAAAGGCAAAATGGAGTTGATCTAGACATCGGAATTTAAATTACAAAGCACGAACAGATATGCAAATTTGAAAGTAGACCATTTTAATCTTATGCATAGAATAGAATGACTATGTGCCATCTGGAATGCAGAGAATCCAATGAAGGTTGGAGGTGTAAAGAACACACAGCAAATTTTCAACATCTGTTTTCACTGCTTGATACTATAATTTATATCAATTCCTCAAGGAATAAGTTAGAGAAAATAGGGGAATTAATAAAACCTGGTGATATAAAAGGTATCACATCATTGTGTTTGTTTAGAGACAATATGGACATACGCAGGCTGAATAAATAAGGCATACAACGTATCAAGTCTATTTTCTGTTTCTCTCTTCTTCCAGTTCCCATAAATGCTGTAACAGGAAAGCATTCCTAGTAGATGTTATCTTTTGGAAGGCCTGGCAACTGACGCCCCTCCTGTTTTTCTCCCTCAACAGGTAACAACTGTTTAGTTTTGAAAACTTAAGAGTAGTAGCTTATACTAGCCCATTCTGTTTTCATCCTATTCCATTGCTAAGAGTAAAAGACTCCAGTGTGATATGGCAATATAAATAAATGTACTAAGCAAAGCCTAAAATGTTACAAAATATGATAAAATATGATAAAACTCAATGTCTGCCCTTTTGATACTCTGTATGGAAAAAAAAAAAGAGTAACTGACTCGGTATTAAAAAGGGTCTTATTAATATTTCACTTTGATATCGAACAGCTTTTCATTTTCAAAGGGTCCACAAAATAAGAAAAAAATGCTTAAAATGTTTTGCACAAAACAAACAGATTGGTTGACCAGGACTGATATTTTCTCACTAGGAAAGGAACAATGATGGCACTGAATTAAGAATTCACAATGTAATTGATTTTTATCTGACTCATTTAGTGTAGGCAGGCTCAATTTGTTCAAGAAACCTGTAATATATTCCTTGAGTCACTGTAACTGTGAGAAATATAAAAGTTGATGTAATAAGTTAAACACATTGTTTAACTCAGTTTGTTTTGCACACTGATTTCCTATTTCTGACACAGATACAGGTTTTGTCTAGGTAAGTGTTGCTTTTTGTAAGATTCTAGTAGATGTCTTACTCATTTTATGTGCTACCAAATGTTCAGAAGTTCTACTTTATTCAGGGTGCCTCTGATTTTGGATTTCCCTATCTTGAGATTGCATTTTCATGTACATACTACTCAATCAGTCACAGCTCTACTGAACAAGAGAGGTAGATTAGAAGAAACTCCTTGCATTAGTATATAATTTTGACACATTAAATTTCTGCTCTTGAAGGGCCATGGAAGTTTGAGTTGTAAGTTTGCACTGAAGCTGCTAGACACAGAAAAAAAGAAACACAGGAAGTCTGCAGGGCTACAGCTAAGTAACAAAATCAAGGCTTTAAGGGAAGTATCCTCCTCCAGGACTATGCAGAAAAGTTGAGAATGACTGCCAGCTCATACTGAACTATCTTAAGAACTTCCTGATTTAAATGTTCTCTGCACATGTTAAATTCTGTGTAGTGTATAATTTCTGATGATCGCTGAGATCTGTCCAGTCACATTTAGGGGGAAATTAAGCATATAAATACATACAAAAATACTATTCAGAGTATATTTTTATCTTCAGAGTACTACAAACTCCAGGTATTTATTGTTTGACTTGGTCTGAGAATAAAAATGAAATATGAGTGCTTTTAATTCACATTTAGATCTAAAACTTGGATTTGTTGGATTTCCTTTACTTTTAGACAAACAGGTTTTACACTAATGTATGAACAAAAGCAGCAGTCTGACAAAAGTAACACTATCTAGTTTGTGCATGATTTTCAGATTCCTTTCTCCTTTGCTGATGACATTTTATTAGAAAAAAATAACCCAGATGATCGTTAGCCACAGTTGCTATTTCTCAAAAAAAAAAAAAGAAAGAAAAAGCAGCAGCAGCAATCCTTCAAGTAATAACATTTATTAAGCAGTCAGAGAATTTAGATGTTTCTTTAACTAACCATGCAACAAGGATGTTCTTGTTTTACTGTTACACTAGTTAACTAAATTTTTTTTTCTTCTTTGAAGATCAACTGTTTAACTAAATATATTTTTGAGAAACATGTACATCACCAAACTGAACATAAAGAAACAACATCAGAATGCTCTGAGAAAAAATAAGTTGTCTTAGTGATTATAAAAAATCTGAGAAAAACAATCCACTGTCATGCCACTTTGAGAAGTTGTAGCTTCTACAGATTGCAGAGTGAGGTTTAGCTGTCCTTTTATGTGCAAGTGGAAACTAAGTTATACATTAAACATTCTTCTTGTTGACTAGCCTTCACAGCCTGTCACTACTGTCCCCTCAACATATAGGCTTACTAATAGATTGCAGATCAGCATTTGATAGAATTTTTACTGTCTTGGAGTCAGTAAAAAGGACTTCTGTCCTCTAAAATCTTCATAGAACTCTTACAACTGTATGTTCCTGTTTGCTCATGTTGTGTTCCAGATTTTACATGTGAAATCTTAAAATGTGAGATCTTAAAATTGACATTACCATCTGTGATGTCACTTGTATAGCAGTCACTGAATTTCATGAAACAGAATGACTAAGAAGCAGGCATCTATTTTGCCATAGTTTTTTATCAAATAAAATGTTTTTCCATAATTGAAGGTGGAAGTGAACAGAGAAGGATTAGGTATAGGAAAAGGCAATTATTCCTATTACAAACCTCTTAGCTTAATTTGTAGGAAATATGATTTTAAAATTAAATAGTACTTGATTGTTTTATGTTTCAGTGTGGGCTGTTTCAGCTGTGTCTAGCACTTCTGCTCCTCA